TAGACGAATCGAATACTAGTCAATAGACTGATCATATGTTTGTATATATGTGCAAACAGACTCTTTTTGCAGCTTAATGTCCAAACATAGTCCATATATGGAGACTAACATACAAAAACAGTCCATATATGAACTGCAGAGTGAATGGTACATTTTGAAACTATAAGTGTTTACATACTATATCAAATTCTTTCATCTGAAAAAAAGTGAGGAAAACTCAATTTTCACATGGGCTCCTTCAAATACAAAAAATGTTACATACTGAATGTCTAGTGCCTAGAACTGCAGAATTAGTTGTAAATCAGCTAAAATTGTAAATATAGTGTCCCAAATTAATGAATCACAAAAAAACAGACAAATCAGAAACAGCCATTTCTGTAGAGCACACTTTTAGGTAACACTGATGTGCACAAATCACTGTTGATTGTAATTATTAATCTGCATCGTGGTGTCACTTGAAACATCTACAATTACCATTTTTGTCAAAAAGGTGCAGCCCTAGCAATTAGGCAACTTTGTCGCAAAAAGGTGCAATTAACATATTTAATACTGTAACAGAAATAACACAAAAATCAAGCTCTAGTGAACCAAAGAAAGCTGTCAGTACACTGTCTCGTCACATATAGGCCTTTTTTCACAGTCTTACAAGCAGAACGTAGGCCTACTGTTACTACTTAGGTTAATTTAAATTGCTGATGTATTTAATAGTAAAATAGAGCTGCACAATATGTACATAATTGCTTGAGACTGCGATTGGTATTACCTCAAAATGACATATATTAATAGCAATCATATCAGCGAAGTCAATAAAGCAAACTCTGTGCCTGGTACTCTCTGAGAGTTAAACTTTATTATATAATTATTGCCTTTTTTGAGTTTCAAGAATCTGTTTATTTAATTACAGACTTTTAGAAGGACTTTTAGCCTAATGTGATGCTGTGGTGACCATGGTGGCCCACCCTGTTGAGCTGGTCCAACCAGCATTTTTGATGATGTTCCATTGCCTGAAGTTTGCTAATATCGCTCTATGAAGTATCGGTCGATCCCTAGTGGCTACCTGATGGCTGACTTCTGAGTAAGGGGAAGCAGTGTTTTTAGCTAGCCTGGAGCCCATTTACCAACAGGGGTCTGATAACTCCATCTCACGGACAGCCATTTGAATAATCACTTCAACAAGGGGAAAAATTAAAAAGCCTCCGAGTGAGACAGGGCCGGGCAGAGGGCCACTGCTGCATCACAAATAAGCTATTGGTATGCAAAAGGTGAGGAAAGGCTGTCTTTGACTCTTCCACGTCAGTCCACTAAATCTGTGCACACCTTGCTGTTAATTCAGGCCATTATAGTAGACACTGAATGACAGAACATAATCCACAAACCCCTGTCATCACTTAAAATTTACGTGCAATTGTACGCTTTTTTCTATTGAAGTTTAACGTGTCTAAGATGTATTATCAATAATCAAAGAAAAAGTTTTTTAAAAAAAGGTAAGTGCAGGGCTGTCATGATTACACTTTAAAAAAATCTAATTAAAACTTCTCAGTGATGAATCAGCAATGATTTGTTGGCAACGTGCATGATAATGGATATTTAAAATTTTCCTACTGCTCTCTCTTACAGTAAGTGCCAGAGCCTGATGAACACATCCATTTATATGCATTTATTTATCATGTAACAGTGTATTTAGATTATGGTTATTGAAGCATTTTTAAAGGCTTGCTAATCTTTCTTTTTCCAGTAACATATTTTAGAAACACTGAAAAGCTCTGCATGGCGTTTTATTGTCCAATGAAGTCCATTTTGAGTGTTCATCCTTTTCTAAAATCTTGATGAATCATCAAAACAATTGGTCGATTATTCAGCCTTAGACACTGGACTTTGGATTTACACATGATGTTAATGTCAGTACATTCAATCTGATTAAAAGATATTCGCTTGAAGCATCACTTCACAGTGGTGAGAATTACATCGAAGAGTGTGTCGACTCTATTCATCACCTTTAGCGTTAAAAAGCACAACAAAATACCGTCTAACACACTACCTGTTCAAACTACACCAAAACAAATAGAGTGAACTGATCTTATACAATGTAAATTCAAGTGAACAGATGTTTTTGAGCAAGCACTGGGCAGCACAGCTGGAGAAAGGCTTAACTTTCTAAAGGTAGGACAAACTCTCATTAATCAACTTGGTGAAGAACAACATTTAGAAGAGAAAAAAAGAAAAGGTTTTGTGCTGAAACCTCAGAAAACACTGTATTCACTGTATACCATCTGACAAACCTCATCACATTAAGCACAATATGCATGGAGAGCCAAAAAACACAATGATGAAGCATCAAAGGAAGAGGCTGAAGAGGATCTAGCTATATGATGCCAGCCCATCTGGTGTCTAGCCTATGGCATCGTTTAGCGAAGACAGAGTAAAGAGGGAGGAATGCAAAATGCCAGCAGTTTCCAGGTAAGTTTTAGCGGCTAAGCGGCAGGATGCTAAGTGTGAACCCTTCGGGCTTGAGGGATGCCAGACTGTATGCAATGCTGCGACAAAAACCTTCACAACATCCTGACATGGGAATGATTACCGCATACCACAACAAATGCCTTACAGCTTCCATTCTGTACCATTTAACAAACAATATAGTTACAAGAAGAGTCATGGCAAAGATGCTCAAAGAAAAGTACTGCCCACTGCAGGCCTTAGACTTGCATCCATATCAAATACTCCTTAAATCGACAAAATTAAGCCAAAAAAAAGACCAAAATTGTTAATAAATGTCAGCAAATATCATCTAACAAACAAGATAACTTGATATGGAGAAGATGCAAAAAAAGATTACACTACAGATGCTAAAAGAAGAAACCTATTGCAAGTCTTACGTTTAAGTCCATATCAACTATTAACACAAAATAACTGCCTAACCCAGCAAAACTGGCAATATGTTCACTAGAATCACAAGACTACAATAGATACTTTCTTCTTCTTCATTAATTGCAACCAATTTCTGTATAACGTCAACATCGATCAATAGTTATACAGGCCTAACAATATACGAAAGCACAGTATGTTTAACTTCACTTGAAATCCAAGCAGTGAAACTGAAAACCCAAAGCTAAAAGATATTACTGAACATTATTTAATACAGCCAAAACACACAAAAAAGAAAGCTGACAGGCTAAAAGTAGCTCCTTTGCCACACAAAATTTTAAGAGGACACTAAACTTAGCATTTAAGTTATAACTTACTCCCTTAAAGGCTATAGCTTATTTCCTAATGCGCCCAGATCTCAATACAACAAGTCAGCGGTTTCAACAGAGGAACTACCAGGCATGTTCTGACAAGTAAATGACGGTTCAATCATTTTCTGTTTTCTGAGAGTCTACAACCTGAAGACAAACAGGTCTGGTGCTAACTTGAATCTTTACAGGCACTGCCATACTGCTAGACTGACGAAGGAGCCAAATCTTACAAGCAGCTAATATTAAGACATCTCTGGCTACAACAGGCCCTTAAAAAGCCTTAAATTCAGAAAGATAATTAGCCGAATATACAACAGCCAATGATCAGTGAGAGTGCAGGCATATTCTGTGAGTAAGTAAGGGGAAATCCCATCACTGTCCGTTTTATTTTTCTTGACAGACAGTGGGCACTCTGCAGCAGACAGCCTATGCTGGCACATACAGTAAGAAATGTATCAGCAAGAATAAAAAACAGGAATGTGCAGTCAAACTGAGAGGTATTAGTCAAAGTTGAACTAAACGCATGTACTCATGCACCAATGGAGCAGATATTGGCCAAAAACCAACTGGCGGCAAAGAGTGGGCACACAGTCAACACTTAAAACGTGCTCAAGGGCCACGGCCCACAAACTATGTAAAAACATTTTATTCAAGAAGACACTTAGTATAATACAACAATAATAAAACAACTTTGTCACATATGGAAAGAGTTCATGAATGTCATCATAGAAATCTGTTGCACAATATGTACATAATATGTACATAAATAATAAATCTATTCATAGTTGCTGACAACTATGAATAGATTTATTCCAGTTTATAGTAAATGTATTGACAGTCTTGGTCCTTTTCCCTCCAATCAAGCCAGTTATTCGCATTAAAAGAGAGGCACCAGCCCAGTACGCTGCAAACCCCAGCTCAGCCACACTGTCATTCGTGCCTGTCAAAAGCAAAACTCAAAGCAAAAGCCATGATCTTCTAGTTCATCCAGCATGCCATTAAACTAGCCAGTAGATTATAGATAACAGCTGTTTGTCAGTGCTTCATGTTCAGATTTCTGGAATACAACTCCATTTGGGTTTAAAACGTTCCTATTCTTTCTGGTCGTCAGGAATGTCCTGGACAATGCAGAGAAGTCAGTTATCTGTCCAGGTTGACTAAACCACCCTTAAAGTCGAGTTACTCCTTCATGACAGCACATCTAAGTTAAGGTTATTTCTAAAATAGCTGAGGACATGGCCTTAACCTCTCAGCTGCAGCTGCTTGACTGGAGAAAAACGTTGAGTTTGCAAGCAGTGGTTCGCAAATACACGAGTAAAAAGCATTTGGTATGTCGCTAGCTCGCATGACATTTATAATTTAAAAGTTTGTAGTACTTTGGCTGGGCTAAAAGTTGGAGCAGCGTGCAAGACGTGGCTGTCTGAGCTCAGTCACTCTCGCCAAGCTACGCTAAGGCATGCTAGGCTAAGCTAACGACGCGGCTTTTCTCTGACAGCTGGCTGCTTTTCAATCCAACTTCTCCACAACTGCAGTCCGCTCTTGGGTACCCCTATCTGTCTCGCGTCTACATCAACATTAGCCTCTGCGAACTAAGGCCCTTTGGAGGTTAAAAGAAAAGTCAACCCCCCTGACCTCCACCCGAACCCCCGGTACAACTCCACCGCCCACGCCGCCAAACTCGCCCCTTCCTCCGGCCTCACTCTCAACTTCGCTCCGCGGCGTTAGCTTAGCCGCATTAGCTCGTTCGCAGCTCCCGCTCACACTTACCCGGGGATTTTTTTCCTTCAGTTGCGGCTGCCCTATTTGGAGCGAGGCAGCCTGGCTTTTAACTGCTCCCCTCCCCTTCCTTTTCGGTGAAATAAATAAGAACTAGCTCCCCGGTCTTGATCCAGAAGCGCCTGTGCTCTGTGTCCGTCGTACGGTGGAGACTCCGCCGTCCCTCAGCGCCGGTGTGTCCGCGGCTCCGCTGCGCCTCTCCGCCTCCAGATCGCCTTCAGCGATGCCCGACTCAGGAACGAATCGGTTCTTTGAGATCCGGTTCTTTAAAACGAGTCGATTCACAAGTCTCATGTTCCAAAGTTTTATAACATCTAGAATAGAATAGAATAGAATAGAATAGAACAATAGACACAATTGATTTTTTACCAGAAAAGGGGTGTTGTTATGCGAGAAGAGAAGAGAAGAGAAGAGAAGAGAAGAGAAGAGAAGAGAAGAGAAGAGAATAAAGCAATAACCAAGAGAAGCAGTGAATTAAAGTAATTTTATAAAAGGGGTGTTGTTAGGCAACAATATAACAATGTAACATAATATAATGTAATATAATATAATAATATTAAATAATATAATACAATATGCCTACAACACCATACACTACACACTCAAACATATATTACAGCAAATCCATTATAAAAGATAAAGGAGTAATAATCAAATGTATTGCAGTAAGAACAAAGGATCTCTTATCCACCTTTTGTCCACTAGAAGTACTCTATAGAGTTCTATAGTAGATAAGTCACTCAAAATTAATGTAAAAGGGGTGTTTAATATCATTAACAAGACATAGTTTACATCTGTGTTGAAGGTATAGGGACTGTAATAAAACTGTAACATATTTTTTACACTTTTAATATAAATAGGATGCTGAATACTGACATATCAGACAAATAAGCTTTTGAAATGCAGACCTATGAAACACAATTACAAGGTGATATTCAAATGTACATGTTATGTGATAACAGAGGCAATTGTTCAGCATATGTCAGTAAATTCCTGATACCTGACACTTCTGCCTGTGATCACTACCACATTCAAGGCAACCACCTGAATCACCTGATGACAGACCAGCCTCGCCCAGAAATGAACAAAGCATTTCAAAAACAACCCAATGAAAGCGTTTTTGTGAGAGAAGAGATTGTGACAAATTTCTTAGTTGTCATTACATAAAACAAGACTTTTCTTTACATGTGTCTAAAGATGTTACCAAGGGCAGACATGAAATGTTGCAAAACCTTCACAAAACTTTGCTCTGCTCATCACTAAAGTTTAATCTCACAAAAAAGTACCATATTGTAACATAAAAATAAATACCTCTTTGAAATAGCTCGTAAGCTCTCTCTATGAAATTGTGGCTGATTTCTACTGTCTGTTATGCGTTTGGGAACCAGACGTTCGATCCATTGAATCAGTTCGAAGGAATCGGTTCGTTCAACTGAATCGAACTCACCATTACTACTTTACGGACAACTTACATCCGGGCACTGGCGCTTGCTTCCCTCCGCTGCGGGACTACTTCCATGCTTCAGCCGAAAAACGGTGCGCGGTTATTATGTACCATGCCGCGCTTCAACGCAGACCGTCTACATAACTAGATCTGACAGATTAGATGACTGACACTTTGAATCGAATCTCTGGTTCTAATGCACCACGACAAACGTGAACTTAAGGAAAACAATTAGTGTAATATACAATAATAGGTTTCCCCCAATCCAAGCATATTTTGTGAGTAAGTAAGGGGAAAACCAATCGTTGTCAAGAAGCACAAAACTTAGCACGCAGACATACGCAGTAAGTAATGCATCACGCAGCAAACAGTAAAGTGCAGTAAAACTGAGAAAGAAGATTCAAAGTTGGACTAAATGAGTCCAGGCTGTTACATGTACCCACGACAGATATTGGTCAAAAATCTATTGAAGGCAAAGTCGGTGGAGGGACTGGGCAAACACTCAACAGATGTTTTAAGGTCATGACCCTGCTAACTACGTATTTAAGCACCAGCCAAACCTCAATATAAGCTCAGCTACATTGGTGTTATTCCTGCCTGTCAAAAGCACGACTCAAAGCAAAAAGCACATCTTCTCACTTCATCTTCTAGCTTGCCATTATAGATAAACAGCCTTCTGGTTGTTTGAACTGTCTAGGATGATGCAGGTAAGTCAGTCAGCTATATAGACGGAGTTACTACTTTATGACAGAACGTTAAAGAGTAATTCCACCAATTTTTAAAAGTTTCTGCATAATTAAACGGTTAATGTTTCAACAAAATCATTCAGAATGGTTTGGCATAAAATGCTTAATTCCAGAGAAACTTATAGAGTCAGAATTGTTTATAGTGGTGGTGATAGGAACCAGACATCTGGAGAATTTAACATCTCTAAAAGCTCCCTCACAGAAAGAAATTATGTGGAATGGTTATCAATACATGTACAATCAATGCATGTCTAAAACATATTGTAATCAATTTATTTTAATCAATTTATGATGGAATGGTACAAGAAGGGTGTTTAAGGCAAAATAGTCCCCAAGGAAAACTTACTGAACTTATTTTTTCAGATTGACCACTATTTTACCATCATCAACAGTACATATAAAACCTCAGAAGATAAGTGTATGTTCAATTGTGATTTTGTATAGTCAATAAACTGGCTATATTTGCATTGTAGACATCAGGGCGTCTGGCTCCTATCACCACCACTTTAAAGAAATCTAAGTTGGTGAGTTTCTCTACAAATGAACCATTTCACATCAAACCAATCTGTATTACTTTGTTTATATCTCAACCAGAAAATTTGAAAAATCAGTGGAATTTCCCCTTTAAAGGGTAATTCTGGCCTAAAACTAGTACTGAATACAACATTTGTCATGTTATGGGGACACCAATACCAAGCATGCATTATGTAAATATATCATATAGAACTGTTGAAAATTCCACCAACTGCCCTCACTATAATGAAATCCTGCCTGCTAGTGTAGCAGCGGATGGTATGGTTAATAAATACACACATGATATTAGGCTTTCTAGCAGCAAGTTTGCTACATGGACCTCTTCTGCGTTAGCCAGCTAGCAGGAAAAAGAAAAGAAACACCTTGTAGTTTTTCAAAAGTTACTCCTACCTTTTTTATACCAATTTTATAAAAAATCTGTATAATTCAGTGGTTGAGGTATGAACAAAGTCATTCAGAGTGGTTTGATGAGAAATGGTTCATTTGTAGAGAAACCAGATTTCTTTGCAGTGGTGCTGACAGGAACCAAGAGTCCTGATGTCTACAATGCAAATACAGTCATTTTATTTACTATCCAAAACCACAAGTGAACCTTCAAACGTCTTCTGAGTTTATATATGTAATGTTGGTGATGATAAAATAATGGTCAATCTGAAAAAAAAGTGTTCTTTGGGGACTATTTCACCTTAGAACACCCTTCATGTATCCCTCCACTATGAATGGATTAAAATAATTTGATTAAAATACATTTCAGTCCAAAACTTTAACACGAAACTACTGTAAAACAATGTCTCAGACATCAGGCAGCATATTCAATAAGGATTTCATGTAATAATTATCTGTGAGGGAGCTTTTAGAGGCGTTAAACTCCTCAGACATCTGGTTCCTGTCACCACCACTATGAGCAAGTCTGACTCAGTAAGTTTCTCTAGAACGGAAACCACTCTGAATGATTTCGTTGACACGTTAACCTGTTAGTTGTGCAAAAATTTTTAAAAATCAGTGGAGTTCCCCTGTAAACTGGAAAATCTCAGGACTGCTGGAACCACTGTAGAAAGTGAGTAGGCATGTTTACAACAGATGATGCAATGGTTACATTTTATTTTTGGACAAAGTTTTAAGCTTATTTCCAAAATAGCTACGGTTATGGCCACCATTTTTTACAAATTTCTACAAAATTCAATTCTTGAAATGAGAATTTTTTTGAAATGATTAATTGTAGAGAAACTTAACCAGAGGGTTACAATGTCTACGACACAAATAGCCATTTTCCAAAATGGTAATGTTGATAATGATAAAATAGTTGTAAATCTGAAAATATACGTTTTCTTTGGGGACTATGTTGCCACAGGTACCTACTGGTACCTCTCCAATGTACATAAAAAATACTCTTTAGACCACTCTTTAGATTTTTACCTCAAAACTATAGTTAAATAATACCTCAGACATCAGTCAGCACATTCACAACTGTGTCATGTAATAATTTTCTATGAAGTAGCTTTATGAGGCATTCAATTCTTCAGATGTCTGGTTCCTATCACCACCACTGTGAACAATTCTGACTCAGTTTCTCTAGAATAGAGCATTTTATGCCAAACCACTCTGAATGACTTTGTAAACATCTTACTGATTTACTCAAGCAGACATTTTGAAAAATTGGTGGATTTCCCCTTTCATTTCTTAGCTGTGACTCTTGGCTGTAGATACATTTTCAATACCATTAAAAATAAACTGCCTTACAATTATACAACTTCTTTCTTACCATGTTCTATATCGACCATCCTGTACAGAAACAACAGATCATCCAGATGATTTTTCCTATAGAATTGTAACATTAGTCATTGCTTTATTGCCTGAATTGCTCTCCTCTGTATGATCCCAGTGACTCTGTTGAATCTTCCATGTAAACTTGTCCTACTTGTATCTTAACTGCACTACCTGGTGTACCTCACAGGATATATTCTCCTTTTGAGTCTTTGTTCCTCTCAGTGTTTCATGGTCATGTAGAGTTTTGCTTTACACTGTCTCCTTGGCTCATTATAGGACTGCAAACACATTTCTGGACAAGCTGTTCTGGGACAACACAGCTGTTGTAGAAAGTGCAGTACATATAAAACTGAATTAAAACTGAATTATAAGCAGAGTGTCCCGGTCCAGCCCTGGAACATCCTGGAATAATCATTAACATAATTTACATGTAATTCTTACTTATCATCACTATATTGTATAAATAATAACATTGAATAAACAATACATACATTTGGCTCACTTTCAGTGAGTACACCAATAGCGATATTTGAAACAGTTAATTTGATTGACTGTTTGTCTTGTTGGGATTAAATATTCATAACCAATGAAAGAATCTTTATTTATATTAATGGAATCTGATGCCACTCATTTTTGTAACCATTTCGGTATTTTTTTTTTTTTAAACGTGAGGAGGTAAAATTCACTATGAAAAGGCAGTGGAAGTTAAAGTCACTTACTTTTTTGTAGGTACAAAAGCGCCCCCTGTCATTTAAAAAGGGAACAACAAGTTTTTATTTAGGCATTTTGCCTTAGTTTTCTCAACTGGTTAAAGGTGTAAAATTAGATTTTCATCAGCATTATCACAACTAGCGCTATCCCAGCTATAGGAATGACCACCTGGTGACACTGTAGGGGGGGCCTAGACTAAAAGGTTGCTTGGTGTACCGGTTTATATTTGATACTAATACTACATTTGTACACAGCCCTGAAATTTGCAGAACGCCTCTGATTACAAAAGCTCCTTGTCTGAAGTGTCTCCTTCTCTTTAAAATCGATCAAAACTAATAAGCTTCTCATAATTGAGAATGCGATGCTAAGCAATTATTATAAAATTACTAATTACTAAGTCATAATTGAGATGCTAAGCCTTTATTATGAAATACTAAGTCATAAATATGAGATGTTAAGCCATTATTTTGAAATACTAAGTTGTAATTTTAAGACAGGATCTGATCAAGTCAATATTATCACGTAGTATCTCATTAGCACGAGATAGCAAGTCATATGTATGAGATGATAAGTCATAATTATGACATAGTATTTCATTATCATCACTTACTCACTTACTGAACGGCTATATATGTTTAGCGCTGAAAACGGGCCACCATAACATAATGCTTGGATTACAAACACGGTGTTTCGTATAGGTAATCCCACATTCATCGATTCATTAATTCACTGAATAGGACAACATAATTACTACTACTGTTGTAAAAATATATACCCGCCTTCTACAGCGATGAAACACCAGTTAGAGCAAGACTGTCCAGTTTAAAGACTAGGAACACCCCATTCTGAAGAAGTACGCATCCTGAGGGTGGGAGAAACTTTCAAAATCTACAAGCTCTTTGGAGCGGATACATGAGGGGCTGTTTGATGCAGAAGGATGTTGGATAGCTAACACACTCATAGGAAGCCAAATATCACATCTATATTTATTAGACTCTACATTAGTGTCTAGACCTGGATTTCTCGATTTATTTAATCGCTGCGAGGGGATGGTCGTGGTGGTTGGAAAGGGGTATGACGTATTTACACATTGCATGTTGGGTATTGTAGTGAGAGAACACATGGATGAATACAGAAAAATGAAACAAAATCGTGAATTCTGTCAAACCCTGGGAGATGGGAGATATAATACTACGCTACATAATATGACAAATAATGTATTAAATACTATTTAAATGACATGCAGCCTAGCGTAGTATAAAGAAATATAAAGTGGGGACATTATAATTATGTATCCGGGTTTGTAAGGTTATTTTCCTCTTAGGTACTGGTGTCAGCACATAATTTAACGAAGAGCTTCTGAAACTTTTATTTTGAATTCGAATGTCGCCGGCAGGGCAGCTAAACTGACGCACGCGCACTCAGTGAGGAGTTTGTGTATTCCGGGTCACTTTAGTGAACCAAAGTTCATCGGGACTGTCAGCTTTATTTTAATATTTCAACACTGCTTTGTGCACTACTCTGCTATTTCAGCGTTACATACAGTAAGGTCATTAAATATATTTTAACAGTACTGCGCAATAATACGACTGTTTATTAACCATCGTATGTCTTCTTCCAGCCATTGAGTAAGAACAGCAGTAGAGTGGATTTAGACGAAGAGCTGAATACAAATATAACGTTACACCAGTAAAAGTTCCATTGTAATAAAGTAATGACTCGAGTAATGGTAAGAGAACGTACCAAAAACAAGGCTGGGTAAAAAGGTATCGGGTCCAAAGAAGAGCTTAGTACGTGTGCTAAGTGCTATTCTTCTCTTTTTTGGATTCTCTTTGTCTGAAATAATATGCTGAACTCCAAAGTGAGAGAGGAGAGCAATGGCAGAGCAGTCAAGGAGCTGAGCCAACAGAATAGAAAGAAATAAAAGCCAAAGCAAGGTGAAGGCCTAAGATAGAAATGAGTGAAGATTCATTTAATCACAAATATACAGTATAGTAAAAAAAGTGAAAGTTTTATCTTTTAGAAAAATTGAGGAAATAACAAATTCAGCAAAATTGTACTGAGGGAAAGCCGAAGAAATAAGTACTTATCTCTGCGAGCAGGTGTTTGAAGTTTGAGTTTGCTCTAAAGATATTGGCTGTTCAACTCTAGTCTTTTTCTGACCAGTGAATGTTGCTTTTTCTTTACAGTAGTTCAGTCCCATGCAAAGATGCCACTTGAATTTGCACGCGGTGTTAACGTGAAAGAAAGTGGGAACCAGTATTTTATGCTTTTATCAGTTAGGGGCGGAAAACATGGCAACATGTTATTGACATATTGACAGCCTGTAAACAACAACCAGCGTCCAGTAACTGCATAATAAGTAGCTGATTGTATGTGATGCCATCATGGCATCATATTATTTTGTTAAATGTACTTTGTCAGTTGTTTAATTTATCCTACAGTTCCTTATTTATTTTTTGAATATGTTGAATTAAAAAAAATGTATTCATGGTTTTTAATAGCCTTTTTAAGTCCTTTTTTCTGTGCTTTCAAACCTCCAAAAAATGAAATATTGTGATACAGATTGTGTATTGTGAATATATTATATCTTTATATCCTGTGGTGGTTTTGTCTTAATGCTCTTCCTTATATCCAGTGCTATTGTTATTATAACAGGGGTTCACACTATGGCACAGTCTGATGTTCCAGTGTCTGCTGCAGCAGCTGGGAGCCTAGCCGAGGAGTTTGCTGTCCCCTCTCATGTCGAGGAGGTCAAGAAACTGATGTCAGAATTTGCTGAACTACATGAAGCTGCTGGCCGCAGGGTTGTGTTGATCACTTCAGGCGGCACCAAGGTTCCTCTGGAGTCCAGAACGGTTCGCTTCCTTGACAATTTCAGCAGCGGCCGGAGGGGGGCTTCTTCTGCTGAGTATTTTCTTGACTCTGGTTATGCTGTGATCTTTCTACACAGACATCGCTCTCTCTACCCTTACACGCGACTCTACACAGGGGTCAATCTGCTGGACAGTCTGAAATTTGAGCAAGGTGATGAGGACATTAGCCGTGTGTTGGTGGATCAAAAGGAGCTTCCAAACATTGCGACAGTGCTGAAACGTTACCAGGCCGTGAAAGCAGCAGGCTTACTACTGCCAGTGGAGTTCAACACTTTGTCAGAGTATCTTCACCTTCTCAAAGCTGCAGCACAGGCGCTCAGTTCAATAGGTAAACACCACACAGCTTACACTATATACACCACAGGTGTTAAACTTTGGTCCTGGAAAGCACAGATTGGTAATTCCCCTACCCACTAAACCTGGCAGTTAACAGAAGAGTTGAATCAGTTGTGTCTGAACAGGGAAATCATTGAACAGTGCTGGACATTGGCCCACCAGAACCAAAATTCAACAGCCCAGAAATACACACATGTAAAGGTGGGTGCCATGCAAAAAAAAAAACAAAAAAAAAAACAAGTTTGAATTTACAAAATGTACCAGCAAAACCAGCGCTGCATAAAAAAGGCTTTGAAAAGCTATATGAGTACAACATTTTTATTTTAATTCTAATGATTCTTATTTTAATTTGCATCAAATAAATCCATCAAATCAAACAAATGGTAACAACGCATCAATAAAAAATGATCGGCTACTTCTTACTATGCAGTTTATGTAGTTATTATGCACTGCTTGTTGTTATTATTAGGTCTTTATTATTATTATTATTGTTGAGTGTCCTAGAAGCACTGACTATACACATCACATACTCAGAAAAAGTACATTGTAACAGTATTTATCATGATAACAATAACACATTGGCCTATTGCCCAGCTCTGTCCACATGTATCCAGTTAACGTGAATTGGAGTTAATATTATCTTTTACGCATTTCAGGTTCCAAGGCTATGTTTTATTTGGCTGCGGCTGTTTCTGATTTCTACATCCCAGCATCTGAAATGCCAGAGCACAAAATCCAGTCTTCAAATGGGCCTCTACAGGTATGTGGGTGCCTGAACATCATTCAAATGTGCTATTGGGATGTGGCAAGTGAACTGGAAGGCACTCATTCACTGCTCTTGTTTGGAGCACATGAGACGCAGGCTGCCACTCATCTGCGATAAAATGCAGTTACGGTGACATAAGACTCTGTGGCAATGGACAATGGGCAATGGCAGCACATGTTCGGTTTTGGTCTCGTTGTAGAGTGGGGGGGTCGCTGTGTCAGTAAAATATCTTTGAGACGAGACGCTGTTTCTCGGCTCCAAAGTGTCCAACATAGTGCAAAAGCCCTGGTTCTGAAAGACTTGAGTACGGACGTAAATCCTTGGCAATAAAAGTTGAGATAGAATTTGTAATTCGCCTCCGAGTTGGGTGGAGGCTCTGACATCACTTGCTTGATGGTCCTCTGGTTGGCAGCAAGTACAAACGGTAGGAAAACAGGTGGAAAATGTAATATGGTTTCTCATGCTTGTCGTTTCCAAAATATTTTAGTTTAGTGTGACACAATGGCTCTTATTCAGGTCTCTTTTCCCCTGGCATGCAGACTGCAGGTCACCTAGCAACGCAGTCTTGCCTAGCTAGTAGCTAACAAAAAGGCAAAGAGAGAGATTTAAGATGAACATTTGAAGACGAATGGACTTATTTGCATTTATAAACAGCGCAGTTGGTTTCCTGGTACATTAAATCTGCAACGAGAGACTGTCAAACACTAAAAAGTTGCGAAGATGAAGTCAGCTTCTCTTTCGGATTTTCCCGGTCCACCTTAAATGGTGCTGCATTTACATTCTGGCGCCTCAGGCAGAATTTAAGGTGGAACGGAAAAATTAGAACAAGAAGCTGGCGAATGAGAAGCGACTTCAGCCTCGTAAAACAGTCAAACGTTGAGAGACATTTTACAATAAACTGTTCAACTTTTGAGTAAAAGTGTTCTGGTGGAAATGGGAGGAAAGCGGCTATAGCTAAAGCTTAAAGCAGAGCAAAGTAAATCTGCGTTTTCGTTTATATTTTTTAGCCTATACTAGGACATTAACACATACTGAGACATATTGGACATTAAATGTTGTGGCTCCCAAGGTGGATTGATTTTTGTTGAAAGGACAAAATGGCTCTTCTTAACATTTGGGTTGTCAACTCCTGACCTAACCTAGCTTTTAATGCAGAGGGTGCCGGTCGGATTTCTCGCTCATCCGCTTGTGTTTTTGTTATGTGCCGCCACAGACTGTCCGGGCGCCGCACTTACCCACTTCCAAGTTCCACCTTTTGCTTTCCGCCAACATTACGTTATAAATTAAATATTTAGAAAATCGATTTTTGACATATGTGAATTGATTCAGAATCGTCCACGTCCGCATCGCAATGCATCTAAGAATTGATTTTTTTCCCCCCACCTCTAGTGTGTGTATATGTGTGTGTGTGTGTATATATAATGTATATGTACACACACAAAGATCATAGGCATAACATTATGACCACCTCCTTGTTTCTACACTCATTGTCCATTTTATCAGCTCCACTTACTATATAGGTGCAGTAATTGTAGTTCTACAATTACAGACTGTAGTCCATCTCTGCATACTTTGTTAGCCCCCTTTTACCCTGTTCTTCAGTGGTCAGGACCCCCATGGACACGTAACATGTCAGTGTTACTACAGTGCTGAAAATGATCCACCACCCAAATAGTACCTGCTCTGTGAGGGTCCATGGGGGTCCCGACCACTGAAGAACAGGACTAACGAAGTATGCAAAGAAACAGATGGACTACAGTCTGTAATTATAGAACTACAAAGTGCACCTATATAGTAAGTGGAGCTGATAAAATGGACAATGAGCACAGAAACAAGGAGGTGGTCATAATGTTATGCCTGATTGCCTGATCTGTGTGTGTGTGTATGTGTGTGTGTGTGTATGTGTATATATATATATATATATATATATATGTATATATATATATATATAAAAATGTGTGTGTGTGTGTGTGTGTGTGTAGGAACTATGTAAAACAATAAAACCACTGGATACTATAAAAGACAGAAATCTGTTATCTGTGATTTTTTTTATTTTTTGTGACCAGGTTTTGTGGCCTCTTTTTTTTGTGTTAAACAGATAAGCATGAAGATGGTTCCCAAGATGCTGAGACCGCTAGTGAAGGACTGGGCTCCACAAGCTTTTGTCATTTCATTCAAGCTGGAAACTGATCCGTCCATCCTTCTGGAGCGTGCTCGTCGAGCTCTGGACACATATAATCACCAGGTCGTGGTGGCTAACATCCTGGACACACGGCACGGTTACGTAGTAGTTGTGACCAAACACACTCAGCAGGAGCTGATTCTCACAGATGAGGAAGTTCAGAAGAAGATAGAAATCGAAGATAAAATCGTCAGCAATCTCTTAGCTGCACACACTCAGTTCATAAGCCAATGAGCTGTCTTATGACAAGAAGCGTGTTGTTCAGTTCATGTCAAATGGTTAAAGCAATGTTTTGGCCAAAAATCCAACTGACATTTGCTACTTTAGTTTTGCACTGGAGCTGCGAGGCTAATGTAGCCAACAAGTAATGGAAGCTTATGTATACCAAGTAGCATTGTGCAAACTGCATGCCTAAATTATAATACATTTGCTTCAAACAGTGGCAAGTTGTGAAGTAATCTCAAATATACTTGGTTACCTGGTTTCTGACACTAAATGAATTATTGTTAATAACTTTTTATTACTGTTAAAAAAAAATATACAAATGAAAAATTAAATATAGCCAGTTATGCGTTAATTTGTGAAAGTAATAGGATGTATTCCATTAAAAAAACAAAGAAAACCTACCAGTATATTTCCATTTTTTCTTTAGGGTGGGTTTGGGGTGGTAGGAAATCAGCTCATCGGCTCACTAACATCATTAATATATGAGAGACACTGTTAGAAAGTCCTATAACTGGAGTTCAGTAGGGCTCAAAAATATGACCAAGTTGAAACATTTTATGTTGTTCTATGTTGAGAAATGAATGTGTTTTTGGTATAAAAATGACGATTACAATTTTGCACAAAAGCCCTATAGGAACCCCCTTTATTTCAGCCTTGCTCAGGAGTGCCCTCTACTGTCTGACTAACCTAGAAGGCATTATTAAGTGGCAATAGAAATTCTCTGGTATAAGCTTCCTTTACTTGTGAGCAAAACTAAAGAAATAAAATTCAGACACCTTACATGTCCAAACAATTACATTTGGGGTAAGGCAGAACAATTGTGTATATTTGATTTTGGTCAACCCAATGTTTAAGGTATGGGTCTCAATAGGTAGATCAGTGCAAATAGCCAGTTATTACATTCAGTGTAATTTAGAGTAGAACTATAATGAACTCATCCATCTGAAGAGTATCTAATGTGATGTACCTCTGAAAACCCTACTACAGGCGTGTCCAATCTTACCTGCAAAGGGCCAGGTTTTTGTTCCAAACAAGAAGAGCACGCCACTCGTTTAATCAGTCAGTCTCAGTCTGTAAACAACTGTTAATAAGTGCTCCTGCTTTGCTGCAATGGGAACCTGCAGCCACAACATTCCTTTGTGGATAAGATTAGATACCTCAGCCTAAAAACATTCCCAATCATGTCTTTTCCAGATATCTATTTTACTGATCTGCTTTGCCATGTCGTTGTTAGTTATATAACACTTAAGATTATGAGTGGATTAGTGCTTGTATGGCTCGAAAATGCAACTCCATTTTGTGCAGAACTGAATTAATTTGTCCTGATGAATTTTAGCATGTCTGCATGGCAGATGTACTTTGTTAGACACTATCAGCAGGGTATAAGCTTGAGAAATCTTGAAATGGAATGTAATCAGTCACGAAGTTAATGCTGCATATAAACACTCTACTGCTCTTTTAACAGGTTTAATGGATATGAACTTTATCAGCATTGACAAACTTCAAATAGAGTACTGAAACATGTTTTGTGAATACAAAACTGATTTTAATGGGGAAGTTTGATGTGAGATGGTTTACTGTAGAGAAACGTACCAGTTCTAATGCATTTACAGTGGTGGTCATAGTAACCAGGGGTTGTGACGTCTACAATGCACATACAGCAATTTTATTTTCAAGTGAACCTACAGATGTTTTCAGGAAATTGATAATTAAATGTTTAATTGTAAAATAGTGGTAAATTTGAAAAGGTATATTTGGTAATATTTTTCAGTGCCTTGATTGTACCATGGTACCACCATGAATGGATTTCCAATAATGCATTTTCAAAAGAATTTCAAACTAATGTAAAATTATGTCTTAGGAATCAGGCAGTGCATTTGTAACCATTTCATGTAATAATTTCTTTTAGAAGCATTAAATGCTTCAGATGGCTGGTTCCCATCATCACTACTGTAAACAATTCTGACAGCAATTTTCTCTAGAATGGCACATTTCACATCAGACCACATCAGACAAAAATTGGTGGAATTCCCCTTTAACTCAACAACAAAAAACATTTTGCACTTTAATCGGTTGCAGGAACTAAACAGATTACTTGAGTTTAATACTCTTCTTAACTCCAGCACGAATTCCAGACAGTTCTCCGCTGTATCTTGTTTCTTCACGCCGAACTTCAAGAACCTAAAACAAAGATATTCTCACCATTAGCAACTGAACAAACAGGTTAGGCACATTACAAGCCTTGTTGCTTAATTCCATTTTTTTTTTACTCAGATCCAGTCTTTGTGCCTTTATGGTTCTTATTTGTGTGTTACTAAGGCATATATGTGTTTAATGTGATCACATCCTAACCTAATAATGATGCCAAACAGCATGAATGATCCACATGCATCATGAACAACGAATGAACGAATAGCACGAACCTCATCATGAAGATCATCAGCTCTGAACAGCTCTCAGCTGTCCAGGACTGGGGCAAGAAGAGCATAATAAAGGGCACATGCTCTAAAGCTGCAGTCACACCGAAGTGTCACCTCGCTATTTTCTATGCGGGCGTGGAGCAAAAGTCAGGCGAGTACAGCGGTACTGATAGGTGGTTTTGAACAGAATGTATAGTTCAGTAACCAGTTAATATTAGCTGGCTGCTTGCCAGGCTCATGCATTCACAGGGAAAAGTTCACCTAGATGAACTTGGTAGGCGCAAAGTGAAATTTAATGCTACTAGAAGAAACTTTTTTTTTTTTGCATCATTTTCCTTTCACGTGAATTGGCCTTTTTGCCAGGCAGATTTTATTTGTGTTGGGTGTGACCATAGGTTAATGCTTCTGCAGCTTTTACCAGCCCTAACTTCAGGTTAGCAGCTGCTGATAAAGGATGGTGATGGCAGTATTTAATGTAACTGCTGAATTTATGCACCAAGAGCAGTCTTAATTCATTTTTTCCCATGGCCACTTTGCAACCTCTCCAATCAGGAGAGGTAATTTGTTACTATGTCTCATTCAAAAAGCAGTGCTGAACACCACTTATAACTTCAGTGGGTGGGGCTAAAATGCTGTAGGCTGAATGGGCAGATATATGTAAATATGTTGTTTTTTCTGACATGACAAAATAATTTAAAACAGGCTGCTTCCATTCACGGACTGTATGGACCCAGGGGTTAGGGTGAATAGATAATGACACTGGATGATGACAGCAATATGCGCATGCACAGTAAAAGAAAAATCTGCCCACTCTCCTTTAGGTTGTTTTAAAAAAAAACACATTAAAATTAAAGGCCTTTTTAAGTATTGTCTTACATTGAAATGTATATCATCTTGAGATTAGGATCCAGACATGTTTATTTTTTGTTTGTTTTTTTTTGACATCTGTTGGATTTGACATCAGGTACTGCAAACACTGATCAGTATTGGGCATGTTTGCATGATGCAGGGGCATGTGCAGCATTACTTGTTGATACTGGAGTTATTTTCTTGAATGTATATATTTGGTAAGTCACTGCAAATCTAGTCTTTAGGAAATTATAAAAGTCTTAAAAAGTATTTCATTTGATACGAGAATGACTGAAGACACCCTGATTAAGGCAAATGATAAGATGTGAACGCAACCTAAGACAAATTCATGAGAAGTGTTTTTCAGCCAGGTGCTGTACATCATACCTGTCCCTTCCTGCGAATGTTAGCACGCCTGAACTTTTCTCTGTGTTTGACTCGTGGATTCCGGTCGATCTTCTTTCTCTTCGGAGTGAGTCCTTTATTCTTGGCCATCTTTTAAAAAAACGTATATATATGAACATGCAGAGAACAACAGGTAAACTGAGTACTGTATTTGCTAACTAAGAGCTAAACTTAAACTACGTCATGCAGTAACTGACATGTAAAATAGTCCTTGGCTAACAATCCAAACAAAGATTTGGAGGCACAAATTCCTGCGTAACTGGCATACATACAAGTACTTGTATTATATACAAAAATCATATATACAAAATCTAACAATAGCTTTATGTAATAATATGATGTAATAAAATATTTGTTGGTTTATTATTTCATCTTTGTTGTCCAGAGGTTGGAATATATCATGATAGCTACATAAAAAAAAAATAATATATGGTATAATGTTGAGCTCAAACTGAACTGTATGTATGTTTTTGGATTAAGGGAAGGTTTAGGCTGTTGCCTCAAGAAATTAATACGCTCTATATGTCTAACTTGCGACATTATCATTGAACTAGCGATCGGAAACATAAAAATAGTTTTGAACATTCTCTTGTATGTACCAGTTACAGATGTTTTCTCTTTTCTGATGTTTCAGTGTACCTGGTAAGTAATGCCTCGTTTAGCATCTCTGTCCAACTCTTGTTCCTCCAAGTCCTCCTTGTCCATCATTAACCTACAGATCATTGCAATCACAGTAAGTACACCTTGAAAGGGGCTATATCCTATACTTTCCTTGTATTTTGTTTTGCCCCTGAGGTCCACTTATGACCACTTATGCACCAAATACAGTCGTAATTCATTTGTACATGACCACTTTCCAATCTCTCTTTATCTATTAGAATTAAACAGGCCTTAATATTTGAATGGGTGGGGTTAAACTGCTGAAGGCTGAATAGGCAGATCCATCTAAAAGCATTGGTTTTCATGACATCACAAAAACAATACATTCAAAATAGACCGTTTCCATTTGTAGTTTCCAAATATGGAAGGGGATGAACAGCATGTTAGGAAACTTTAACAATGTTTACATTATACATCAAACTCTTTTTCAAAAAAAATTGGCCCATTAAATTAGACCTGAAATTTTGGTCCAAACCCAAAAATATTCAGACCAAGTTCTTCCAAGACCTTGCTCCAAAACTCACCACCATGGAGCAAAAAAAGTTAATACTCCTTATGACAGATTTAGTCTATTTTAACCCATTTATCTATCAATTAAAGCATTTTAGCGGCATCCCAAAATATCTTTGTCTGTTAAAATGGCTGCATTATGATCATTGTTTTCATGCTGGCCTTGTGGACCTTGGGGCAACATAAGTGACTTCAGCATGGCGGACTATTGTTTAAGGTAATAAAAGTAAGGAGAAAGAAAAAAAAAGCTAAAGCAGGTTGAATGTTCAAATGTTCAAAAGGTAAAATTTGAACTTGGACAAATGTTACATGGACCCAATTAGTCAATTTATGAGACACTGTTGAGTTAAATTAACATAACCGTTCTCACCCATCCTCCTGCAGTTCCCTGTTTTTTCTCTTTAGTTTCATCCTTTCCTCAATGCCTTTATAGAAGAGCAGGGCTGCATCATCATCCATATCTGACTCTTCTGCCTCCTCTACACCAGTGATCTCTGATACCTACAGACAGACACACACACACATGCTGAACAGCTCTCAAAATGGGCTTTCATCATTAAGCAGTTTTACATCTGAGGGATTTTACGCTCACAATGTTTCAATGTTACATGTCAGAGATCAAAACAGCAATTAACCGTAATATTTAAACAAATTCAAACAAATTTCCTCCCTCAACTAAAACTGTATAGAGTGTACTTAAAAACTTGAGTGGAAAGTTTTTTGCAGTAATGCATAAATTTAGTGTCATGTGACAGCATTTTCATCACGTCTCTCCTTGCAGCAGCACGGGGGAGCAAAGCCGAGGAGACTAGCAAACTGATTACACTAATTCTAGAAAATAATGTGACATCTAGGTTTAATGAGAAATATTAAATTAAAATTCAATTAAAAAATAGAATGTTTAAATTAAAAATAAAAAAAAATGTTATTATTTGCTTGATTTGAGAAAGGTAAACTTCTTACCTTGGCCTTGTTGGCCTGTTTGCTGTTCACTGATTTTTTAGCTGCTCTCTCTTGCACGTTTCCAGAAAGCAGCTGTCGCAGTTGAGGCGCAAGTTTAGCATCAACAGCCCCCAGTTCATTTATTAACTATGAAAAGAAAAATGCTAATCTTACTTTTAATACAGGAATCACACATATAAACCCATTTGCAGCTGTATGCAATAATCCGGTCAAATTACATTTTTTGTTGATTTTCTAAGAAAAAAAAAAATAAGTTAACACCTCCTCTACATAGAACATTCTTCCGTACACCTGAATGCACAATTGCTTTATTTGCTGTATTTAACATATTGGGAAAAATAAAACGGTTTAAAAGTTATAGGCACATTTTCATGTTCTATTTTTTCCAATATGTTAAACCAGCAAATAAACAGAAATTGTGCACAAACATTTGCAGAAAACTGTCATGTTTAAAGTTGGTTCCCTGTAGTGGATGTGTACTTATTTTCACTTATAAAATCAATAAAACATGTCATTTGACAGGGGGTGTTCAAACTTTTCCCACATGACTGTTTTTCCTTACAGCAATTTTGAGACGGTGCCAGACCCTAACTGGACACAGTGACAACGTGTGAGCTGAAGTTTGCCTAATAAAATAACATAAAAGCGCAGTTCAGTAAAAGTTACGATTGCAGTATACTGTCATCTTTAATTTGGCCAACTGCAGATGTCATCTTTACTGGCCAGTTTTGTCTGTGTAAGTTTTGTATGCAAGTTTTGTATGAACATTAATACAATGATTTGTTTTGTAAAATAAGCTACAGAGAGGCCATATTGTGTACATCAATGCCTGCTTTTAGCTTCAGTGCACAGTGATAGCAGTGATGCTGTATCAGTTTATCAGCATTTCTGATCAGTATTCTTCACGCAACATGTTATTTTTAATGAAACAGCTTTTTTATTTGAAACTTTCCGTAGACAGAGCTGTCTGTAGAGGCTGTGTTTCACATATAAATCTTTAAGCTTTGTCTGTACACCATGGTCTACTCAAACGTATAATACAAGTCACCAACTACAGCTCAACCAGCCAAACAAAAAACTCCCGAACAAGACATCAAACTCAAAACATATGCTCCTCGGACGCTTTAGCTTCTGATGTGACTCCTGCTGTCTCTGTGCTACAGAAAGCAAAACTATGACTTGTACTTTACTTACAGCTGTACAGAACCACTTTTCTGCCAGCTCTCTTCCACTGCAGCGCTACTCAAGTAACTAATGCAGCATAGCTAGTTAATGCACTTCATTTAATATCAGCTAGATTTTAAGTATACTTTTTAAGGTACATTAAACTCATTTACACTAATAACTACTACTACTAATTCTAAGTAGATTACTCAGTATAGTATTGAACTCTGTACTGGCAAGTACTAAAAATATGTACTCCAGTAAGATGTATCCTTTTAGATATACTGTGTATAAAGTTTGTGTGTGTATGTATGTATGTATGTATGTATATGACCCATAAAATAAATAAAACCATGAATAGAATTAAAAATTAACAATCCTGTTAAACTACAGACTGAAAAACAATGATCTATACTTACGTTTCTGTAGGTCACCAGTCTCTCAATCACTGGATGGTTATGTGCTGGAATTCTCTTGGCTTTTAAAACCAGGTAAAAGCTTATGTTGGTGCAATAACTGCAAACAAAAAGAGAAACAAATTGCACTGTTGTGCCACAATTGTAATGAACTGATGTACATGTGCACAAAAGCCTTAAGGGACACTTACTTGAGATAAAGCTGCTGCTTAGTTATAAGGTAATTTGCCCCCTGGGGGAAAATAAAAAAGATATTTTCAGTGAGAAGAAACAAGTTCAACGAAAGCATGAGAGATAAAGCCATTAGAGGGGGGTTAAATTCTGTTAATGCACACAGTCTTAACGTCTGCTTGAGAGATTATCTCACCTTTCCTGCTGGAATCTTTCCATCTTTTATCATCTGTACAAGTGGCTGTATCTCATCTCTCAGTTCGGTCAGCTAAACAAACAGAACCACAGCATTTAGAAAATTAGGAAAGGCTACTTCTGCTTCCTGTTCTTTTTATTAGAAACCCCTAATTTGTAGCTCGACCTTACTGGTGTACAGTTGGGAGACTGTAGCTCATCTGTTGAAGCACAATTTGTGTTAACCATCCTCTTGCCCTTCATCAATGATCCATTTCTGAATACACAGCTACTCCTATCTGGACATTTTTGGGTGGTGGATGGTTCTCAACCTAGCAGCAACACCATTGTGCCTAATACATTTGTACCAGTGCCACACACTACAATGCCACTACCATGTCAGTTCAGAATGGTCCAGCACCCAAATAACATCTGATCAGTGGTCCTGTGGTCACAAAATGACCAGCGATGGACAGGCTAGAGTGGCTGATACATTTGTGCAGCAATACATGGGCCACATTCTGTAATTGTACATTTACATAGAGGACTTTTAAGGTAGCTGGAGCTCAACGTGGCCAGAGAGTGAAAGCAGATGGTAGGGGGTTTTAATAAAGTGAACAGTAAAATATTTCTGCATAAATGAAGGCAACATAAAATATTAGAATACTGCAAATAGAAAAGCTCTCTCATACCTTAGCCTTGAAGTCATGAATGAGCTCCAGTAACTCTGGAGATTCCTTCTTAAGCAGTTTAAGCTTTTCCTTCTGTGACATTGTGTTTAGGTCTTTTTCAATCCTCTGCTCTTTCCCTCTGGTCTTTTCAGTTTTCTCAGCTTCTGCCTCTACTGCAAACTCCTGATGAGCCAAAGAGATAACTGCATTACAATCACAACAGAATGAACAACTCAAAGTCACAAAGTCAGCCAGTAAAAGGCAGCCAAAATCAGATCAAAGTAAGTATGGATACTACACTGTGTTTCTATAAAAAGTGAGTGTCTTAGCATGAGAATTTGCCACACTGCCAATGATGCGTTGTTTAGGACATGACTAAGAAAGCAGAAAGTGCAGGTCAGCTCTTACATTTCTCTGATAAACTAACATATCTGTACAAGGTCCACCTGTAAGACGATGAGTCCTCATCAGCATCCAGTGCTGTACCAGTTAACTCTGTAAGAGTTAACAGACTCTGAAGAGGTAGCCTCCTTTACTCATGTGACACAAAAACTTACAGATTCCCTTGAGTATTTTTGAATAATAAATGTGTTGCTATTTTTTGTGTAACACCAGTGCTGGCACCTGAACAGGTAGGCCTACAACCCATTAATGTCAGTTAAAGTCATTTCCTTCCAGCTACTGCCATGCGTATCTCCAAAGTACATTGAGTTCGAAGCAGAATGCTCAGCTGATGTTAGCAACATCAATAATATCAGTAACATTAGCACACCATCAGCAGACTTCACAGGACAGTGCTCACAGCAGAACTATGGATAAATCAACAAGCCCCAAACTAACAAAAGCAAGAGCATAGTGGAAAGCTCCAATTCCTCTCAAAACAAGGCGTAAAGTAGCAGTATGAGAGCGAGAGGTCTATAATCATGAAATGTGCAGTCATTGTTGCTCTCATTGGACATCGAAATCCAGAAACACTGTTCATTTCATGGTCATTTTCAAGTTCAATTATTGAAGATAAATACGTTCTGATGAAGCGTACACATACACACACACACACACACGTTTTCTAGATACTTTGGAAACGTACTTGGAGCAGGTCTAGATCATAGTCTTCCTCACTCAAGTTGGCTGCTAGTCGTCTCTGAATGTTCTTGGCTTCCTCCTCCTCTTCCTTATCCTCTGCCTCGACCTCCTCTAATGATTTTCCCTCTAAGAGCAAATAAGAGATAAAACGCAACCGTTTTTTTCAGCCTCATTAAAGAATAAGACAGTCAAGAGCTTTCTACAATGTAGGGCCTTCATGATTACTCAATTATCTTGATAATTAGTAGACAGTCAGCATGACAATGCATATTTTAGATTTTCCCTTTTTATCTTTCTTATAGTAAAACTATGCCCAACAAATACCATTTATATGCAATTATTTACCTCAAAGTGTTTATAATTATTTATTTTTTCTTGATGTTTTTGTTGATGTTTTCCCAGTAAAGTATTTTGGAGCCTTTGAGAGGCTCTGTGAGGGTTTGTTTTTGTCCATTTTTATTGTTTAAAACTGCTTAATTGATTTATCATGAAAATAAATCAGCAGGTTATTCAACAAGTAATATAACCAAAAGTGACAAGCCAACAATAACACATGGCATATAATGCATAATATACATACTTGCAGCAGTGTAGTCAGAATCATAGAATATTTTCTTCTTGCTCCCCCAGGCCATGTCATTTGGCAGATCTATTAAAAGAGAATAAAAAAAAATGATAATATATTTGAAAATAATACTCAAATATTTACATGTATCATCAAGGTAAATAATTAAAAAACAGGGAAAGATTAGATGAGTCAAAAATTAATGAACTATAGTGAACGTCACTGAATTACCATCATCTTTTCTCCCTTCTATGTCACTCTCCATGTCAGTCTCTTCTCCATCACCCTCCTCTTCCTCCTCCCTCCTCCTCGTCATCATCATCTGAATCTTGAAGTGACAGGGGCATTACTTCTTCCTGAACAGATCACAAATGATCACTTGACGTGGCTCTTCATATTTTACAATATGACTAATTGACTTCTTTATGCTCCAGTCACAAATGTTTTCTCTCATAGCTACTGTTATGAGGTTGGACAAGCTTTAAAGAACACTGACAAAAACCCATTCATGAGAAACAAAAATCAAAAATCATTATCATTAAGCTGAAAATGTTTTTTTGGCTAACATTCTAAAATGCTTCACTTCACAACACAACTCATCACAAGAAATGAAGTCTCTTGGTCAAATAAAACTGCTGATTTTATATATATATATATATATATATATATATATATATATATATATATATATATATATATATATATATATATATATATATTTCATATCAATTAAAAACAGAAGAAAACTATACAAAATTTCATTACTTTGAGTGTGGTGTTTTCCTTATAAACGTCAGTTGTTGAACATAAATGGGTTAAGTACTTAGTCACTGAAACATTGTGAAAGACCATATTTATAACTTGAGAGTAATTTGACTACCTCGTCTGCATCATCCTCCCGATTGCTGCCCCTCTGTACCCCATGAGCCAAAAGTTTCTACAAAACAGAAAAAGGTTTTAGTTACAGTCTGATTCTGGACCCTTACAGTTGTTCAGAATGGGTGACATGGCAAAAATACAACATTACGATACCTGAAGACATACACAATACACAATATGTACCACAATCATTGCTTTTCATTTTTAAAAAAGTTAAACCATTTAAAGATGAAAAACAACAAGGGATCAAATCAAACAGCCAGCGATAACTAACAAAGTAAGTTAATGCTATAATTAGCTGCCACACAATTAGCAATTTGCTACTATAAGGTTTATGCAGTTCCTACAAACACATTACAGCTGTTTACAGACTCGCAATAATTTTTCTTTCTAAGATGCACTATATGGCCAAAGTATGTGGATACCTGACCATCACACCTAAATGAGAAGTTGTACACCCCCCACTGGCCACCTTTGTGGCTATAACAGCCTCAAATCTTCTGAGAATGTGTTCCACAAGATTTTGGAGTGTGGTCACAAGTTCCCACAGACATTCATTCAAAAGAAGCATATAATTGTCTAAAATGATTTGTATGCTGTGGCATTAACATTACCCTTCGCTGGAACTAAGCGTCTGAGCCCAAACCCTGAAAAAAAGCCCCAGATCATTATCCCTTCTCCACCCAACTTTACTTTTGGCATTGTGCATTCCAGAAGATAGTGTGCTTCTGGCATCCAACAAACCCAGAATTATCCATCAGCTTGCCAAATTAAAGTCAGACGTATATTGGGCAATTTTAGTCTATTTTTAAGATTTCAAATTAAGATTAAGATTTCATGATCGGGCAGAATTTCAACTTCACCCATCGTCGTTTGCTGTGCCGTGTGAGAGGAGCAGCAAGGCCCGATTAACCGTCCAAACAAGCTCCGACTGAGCAGCTGAACAATCGTATGAGTTTCTGACGCATCAGAAATTTTGGACACTCACATTTTGTCTCAGTCTGCGCATTCACATAAAACGATTTCTCAAAGTCACACCCAGACCATTTACAAAGAATAATAACCGTTTTGCTTGGGACTCAGACGTGCAGCATGTTGTTTTGAATGAAACAGCAATATTGGAAATAGTCTGCATACAAAGCTGTCTGTAGGGGCTGCATTTCACGTGCAGTGTGAGCACCCATGTTGCGTCATGTCAGTCGGACCAAGTGTTTTCGTACAGTGGGAGTACATAAATCGTAGACTTTGACTATACATGATGGCGGATTTACAGGTGCAGCGTGAGCTGTCACCAAAGAACAAGATTTTTTTTAAAATTGCACACTGTATGCCTGGCTTACAGGTGATTCATCACTTCAGAGGACACATTTCTGCTATTCCAGAGTCCAGTGGTGTTATGTTTGGAACTCTGTAGTAAATGATGCAACAGAGAATAGCCAAGTTTTACAAGGAATGCACTTCATACAATTAGTATGTAATCAGAACTCCACTCTGTGAGTTTGTCATCTACCGCTTCATGGCTGAGCTATTGTTGCTCCTAGATGCTTCAATTTCAATAGCACCTCCATTTGACTTGATAGATCTAGCAGGGTAGAAATTCCACAAACTGACTTGTGGCAAAGGTGGCATTCTCTAACAGTGAATGAAAGTGACAGCTCTTCAGTACGACCCATTCTATTGCCAGTGTTTGTCTATGGAGATTGCATGGCTATGTGCTTGACTGTACATGCCTGTTAGCAATGGCTGTGGCTTAAACACCTGAACTCAATAATTAGATGTGTCCACATAGTTTTGGCCATATAATGTAAATGCATTTGTGTTCTAGATGTACTCATAATACTCTTAGTATGATCATAAAAGCATGTCATCACATAATTTATCACAATAACATATCATATTGGCCTCCTCTCCTCCACTCCCCGGTCTGTCCATGACAGAGCAGCAACTCACTTCCATCTTTTTGCTGTGGAACTCCTCTATTTCATCCTCCACATACTTTGATGATTTCTGATAAGAGAACCAGAAACCAGTAGCAAATGTTAAGTCAAAGTATTCTAGAAAACATGATACATATTAAATGTATTGGAATTATATTACAGAACGTCATATAGAGCAACTAGAGTTCAGTACCTTATCTGGGATTGCTTCATCCTTATAGCAGGCAGGATCATCGCTGTCATACTCTTCCACCTGCTTTCGTTTTGGCCTGCGCACAGTCCTGTGGGGAGAAAACGGTTTATGAAGAGAACAGATGAAAAATAAGAGAAATGGGAGGTCATTAACAGACAGCAAAATCTGTAAATAATTCTGGGTAGTCCACTCACGAAAACTTATGCATATATAAACAGCATACAGAAAACTAAAAAAAAAAATATTGTGCAACACATATTTAAAATACTTATAAACTACTAATTATTGCTTTGTTAAAGGGACATTTCAGCCTTTTAGTATTTATCAGCATTACTATGTTGTCAGTTCATGTAGTATTCTGTAGTCCAGCACTGCATGCCTCCTTCCTTTGACAGAATTCATTTTCATGATCAAACACATCATGGATAATTCTTTGGGTGCTCAACAAACCCAGACTGCTGGTCCCGGACCTAAAGGCTATTAAACACAACGTTGGTACCAGCTAGCTGATATTACTGATCTACTATCAGCACTAAAATCAACTGTTCGTCAGTTTTTCTTTGTCTTAGGAATAACACTAATTCAGTCGAAGAATTAGCCAGCTAGCTAGCAAACAGACCCCCAAAACCCTTTCAAAATGTAATTCCACCTTCAAGATAGGTTAATCTACATCATCAGCAGGAGGTTTTCCTAGTCTATAGACCGAAAAAGCTTACTTTATAGACTAATGCACCACGGCTGCAAAAGGCAAGCAAGCATATTTTCAACAAATCGACAACATTTTCAACATTTTGACCAAAACACCCCTTTAAGATAACCGAATCCCAAATTATGAAGTTTAAGCTTCAAACCAGTCTCAGTATTTTTGAAGTTCTCTTAAACGTACATACCTTCTTGCTCGAACCATGCTTCCCTTGGCTCCTTATAACAGAGACTACCTCAGTTAGAAAAACAGATGGACTAATATCAATACAAAATCTTAAATAAACGATAAACTCAACACATTCGGAGCAATAAGAGCCCACGAGTTTCCCCAACATGCGTTTACGCACAACTGGGTGATTATTTCCTGTACAGAACTCACACTTCAAAATAAAAGTCCTTATGCCGAATAAATTTAGGACATCGAGGGACAGCAACACACTCTGAATTTATGACATGTCCAACAAATACATGACAATAAACATGTTTATGTGCAAAATATATTACTTGGACTCTCTCGTGAAAATAAACAAACTGAAAAAGCCGGAAATGCAGCCTGTATTACACTGCACAGTGGCTACAGTGACAGACACGAGGGACGTTTTTAAAGGAGCCACTAGAGGGCGCAGTGTGGTTCTACACTGCAGAGTGTGAAAGGCAGCTAAAGATGCCTCACAAAATCATGCACATAGCACAAGCATAAACAAAACAATAATTAAAAAATGGAAATTTAAAAACTAAGGTGAACAAATAAAATAAAATTATGAATAAATATTTTTATATCTGTCAGCACAAGATGCCTGACGGATTTGAGCAAGTAAAGAATTCACAAAGCTGCTTTAATGTTTTATTGCAGAAATTTTCAGTATTTTGTATGAAGCATTCAGAACTGGAATAGGAACATTAAAAATATGCACATGCTAAAAATAGCACATTAAATGAATAAATCTAATCTAATCTAATATAATATAATACAATGTTATAAATATCCGTACAGTGTAAATATCTTAGCTTTTTATTTATTTAGAATTCTTTATATTCTTAATTTTTTGTGAAGGATAGAGGTCATATTTTTATCTTATTTTTTACTTTTAGTATTATATATATTGTTTATATAGTAACAAGTAACAAACTGTAAAAACCTTGTTAAGTAATTAATTACTTAACAACTTAACTACTTACTAAGTTAATTACTTGCTTGTTAATTCTCTTCTCGTCACTTCTTTTCTTTTTCTTGAGTGCCTTGCTATCCCTTTGGTGCTGTAACACTGAGAATTTCCCCGTTGTTGGACTAATAAAAGGATTATCTTATCTTATCTTAATATAATATAATAAAATACAGTAAACTGGACTGGATAAATTCAGAGAATGCAGAAAAACGTTGCCTAATTAGTTCCAGGATTCACAAGCCTAAATTAAAGCTATATAGAAAACAGTTTTAACAGTTTTGAACCCAGCCACCCAGCCAGGTATGCACACATCCTGTATAGGTGTGAGCCAGAACTCATGCACAGCTGGCCGGTGCAGCGAGCTGCATGTGCTGGCTCCTCTTGCAGCAGTGCGTTCAGGAAGTGCTCCAGCACCGCTTGGTATGCCTATCTAACCATTGAGTTCAGCTCCACCAACTGCAGGCTTATCTGCTGTCCCTTTAGCCTCCACCTCTCCATGAGCAGTTTACCGTCAATGCCGCTGGCACCTGCCCAAATCGTCGCTAGAGGGCCATTGTCAATACTACTAGGTTGTCATACTCTTCCAGCAGCAGATCCAAAAGCACCTTTACTACTTTCCCCTCCAGTGCCAGAAACAGCTATGTTGTGGTTACGGTCGCCATTCAGCCGTAATGTTGGGTGACTACGTGCAGCTGTCCGGAGTACAGCTCCCTTTGCCGTTGAAGCGTGGTAAGTGGATGCATGCAGTCTCACTGGCCTCCAGCTAGGCTCCGCTGCTGAGCCTCACTGCTCTGTTTTCTTCACTGCCTTCCCGTCAGTGAGAAGGAAGGCCTAGAGCTTAGTACCCCCTTCCTCAGGGATTTGACCTCTTCACCATTTGCCTTTGAGTTTGTTGATGCCACTTCACTTCTTCCAGCTCAGAGGCCATCGTCCACTTCTGACACCAATGTAGCACTGTCGTAAAAGAAGTCGCAAAAAACACTGAGCATATGGGCAAATGATCTTTATACTGAACAGACTCTGCAGCAGCAGCAAGAAACACCCAGCTCAGTGCTTCCCTCAATATGAAACACAGAGAGGGGGTAAGGCGGGAGGATACAACATATGAGAATGGTAGACACTTCTAACCACTTGTTACACTACAAAGCCCATACTCTTTGGACACACATACTGTAATGAATGCAACTACACACTAACAGCAACAACAATAATAACAAATGTTTCTTTTTTACGTGAGGAGTGTGGCACCTCTCATGATACACACCCCCTGAGCTCTGTGGTCGTGTGCCATTCTGTAGTCCGCGCTATGCCCATATTAAGAACTATGGGTGTAAGCTCGATTTTTCCATGGCCAGAATGAATAGGGTTTTCGAAACATTGTCTCTATCCCTGTGTTCAATAAAAATGTGTACAAGAGCCTTAATAATAATACTGCTACATGCAAGCTAAAGCTACTGTGCATCAATTTGATGTCGCTAAGCTACACAAAAGTAAGGTGGTCTATGGCAGTGTTCTTGCGAGTTGTGCTATCTAAATGTTCTGCCATAGCGCATTATTATAGGAACTTTATTCATATAAGTATGAATAAAACCTCGGATCGATTCTTAGATGCATCGCGATGCGGACGTGGACGATTCTGAATCGATGCACAAATGTCAAAAATTGATTTTCTAAATTTTAATTAATAACGTAATGTTGACGGCACACAAAAGGCGGAACTTTGCAAAGTGCGGAAGTGCAGTGCCCGGACAATCTGTGGCGGCACACTACATTAAAAGCTAGTGCAGGGGTCGCAACCCAAATGTTAATAAGAGTCATTTTGTCCTTTCAACAAAAATCAAACCACCTTGGGAGCCACAACATTTTGAGTCCATTTTACCATCTTGGCTGTACGTGTCTCTACGTGCTAATGTCTTAGTACAGGCTAAAAATGTTAATACAAACAAAAACGCAGACTCATTTTGCTCTGCTTTAAGCTTTAGCTCAGCTGTAGCCGCTTTTCTTGCATCACCAGCTGGAAACTTTTCCACAAAAGTAGAAAAGTTTCTTGTAAAACGTCTCTCAGCGTACTTTTTACGAGGCTGAAGTCGGTTCTCATTCTCGTTCGAATTTTCCCGTTCCACTTTAAATGGTGCCTGAGGCGCCAGAATGTAACTGCTGCACCATTTAAGGTGGAACGGGAAAATTCAAACAAGAAGCTGGAGAACGAGAAACTGACGTTGTAGATTAAACGTATCAGGAAACCAGCTAGAGTGATTATAGATGCAAATAAGTCTATAGTCTCCAAATTATCGATGTTCGTCTTCAATCTCTCTCTTGCCTTTTCGTTAGCTACTAGCTAGGTGTACTAGCAGTTATAGGCTACATTAATTTCAGCGTTTAAGATCATTTATTGTTAAAACTGTGTTTGAACGATCAGCAGAGCTTTATTTTACTGCAGAGGAGGATTATTTTATTATTACCTAGAAATCTAATTCTGATGGGGAGCCGCAGGTTGCCGACCCTTGAGTCAGAAGATGGAAGCACTTTGGCTTATGTGGAGTTGAGGGGGAAAACCATTTTCCGCCCGGTTGTAGTTGCTGCCAACCAGAGGACCATCAAGCAAGCGATGTCAAAGCTTCCACCAAACTCGAAAAGGACGAAGCGAACGACAAACTCTATCGCAACTTTTATTGGCAAGGATTTGCATCCGTTCTCAGTCGTTGAGAACCAGGGCTTTCGCGCTGTGTTGCACACTGACACAGCGACCACCCCACACTCTCTACAATGAAACCAAAACCGCAGTTATAGCTAGAATCACTGAGGAAAAAACGAGTAGAATAGCTGTAATCTGCTGCGTGGACATCCATTGCCACAGGATCTTATTTCACCGTAGCGGCGCATTTTATCGCAGATGAGTGGCAGCAGCGTCTCATGTGCACCAAACAGCAATGAATGAAAGCCTTCCAAGAATGATGCACGACTACAGTGGTCTATAGCAGAGCTGAACCAAAGAGGCGCTGCAGAGGCGGAACTGACCACGCTAAAAATGTTATTTATACAGTTTGGAAAGATGTGTTCACATTTCAGGCAAGGCTGGTATTAGGGGTGGGAATCTTTTTTTTTATATACAGGATTTCTATTTTCCTACTGTCTAAAAAAAAAGATGCATCAAGATAATCGTTTTATAATCTCATCGCAGCCCTCTGAATCGTAATCGCATCGAATCGTGAGGTGCCTAGAGATTCCCACCCCTAATACCAGCCTTGCTTGAAATGTGAACACATCTTTCCAAACTGTATAAATAACATCTTTATCGTGGTCAGTTCCGCCTCTGCAGCGCCTCTTTGGTTCAACTCTGCTATAGACCACTGTAGTCGTGCATCATTCTGTAGTCCTCATTATGCCCATATTAGGAACTCCGGGTCTAATCTCCGTTTCTCTGTGGCCAGAATGAATAAGGTTTTTGAAAAATGGCCTCTATCGCACCCTGTGTTAAATAAAAATGTTCAGAACCCGATTTTGTCCTGTGTACATTTTTCTCCCGAATACCACTGGATCCTCCGAATTACGAGTCATTAAAGAGCTATAATACTAATATTGCTACAAGTGAGCTAAAGATACTGCGCATCAATTTGATGTCACTAAACTATACGAAAGTAAGGCGGGCTGTGGCGGTGCCCTGACGAGCTGTGCTATCTTATCGAAATGTTCTGCCGTAGCGCATATTCACAGGTATACCCGTAAATGAAACCTCTGGGTGGGATATTCTGATAGGCTAAAACTCCTTATCAAAAGTACTACCCGTGTTAAAACTACGAGGCTGAATTTAGCTGCTTTTTTCGCAGCTTCTTGTTTGAATGTTCCCGTTCCACCTTAAATGGTGCAGCAGCTGCGACTAGCCATCACAAACATTAGCAAACGAGACAAAATACTGACATGTTAGTTCGGTGAAACAGTAAAAATAAGTTAATGTCACTCAGCTGTTAAGTGGAAAGAGAGAAACCTCCTCAAATCATACCTTTCAACCCTCCATGAAGCTGAAGTTAGCTTCGTTTTCACCGGCTACTTGTTCGAATTTTCCTGTTCCACCTTAAATGGCGCAGCAGTGACGTCGAACAAAAAAGCTGGCGAATGTCCTGACAAAATGTCCACGGAAAAGTGTTCCCAGCATTAAAATAATAATTAGGATATACTGAGAGCCGAAATCAGTTTATCAGGGGGTCAG